GAATTTATATAATGTATCAAGTTCTAATTGACTTCACTGCGTGCAATCGTTTCTCATGAACTCATAATATTAAATTTAGTAGTGATATAAACAGATGGTTAATAAATAGGCAAACAGTACAATTTAATAGCAAATAAAGTCACAAACAAGTAAGAAAGAAATGTGTTTAATTTTCACAACAGAAATTTATCTAAATACAGACTATTTCGCAGATTTCATTTAATTCATATATTTTATATAAAATAATGTGGACCGAAAAGAGTTTGAGTAATGAAATAATACCACATTGTAATTGATACAGAAAAATATCGTAGAATAGTTGTTACATTATTAACGTTTATTTAATTTTTTATTGTGTATTAGACTATTAAGGAGCATTGGAGGTTGAATTTTTTTTATTTCATGAAAAAAATGCAGCAAATTGTAGTCTTGCACTATTTGCCTTATTTGAATGGTGGATTTGAAAATAAATCTATTATCTATGGTTTTTGTACTATAAATTTACTGCCATATGATTTGGTAAAAGTTCGTTGTTACACTTTCAGTTCATAGTGCACATAGTCCTCTTTATATATTTATATAACTTTAATAGGTTTTCTATATAATGTAACAACGTAAGTATTTACAGCTTTTTAAAGCGGAATCGACTGTATGAATTTTTGTATTCTTCAAATATGTACGACTTTTGAAAGTGTTTGTTAGTGTTGAAATTTTTTTTGTGGTTTGGACCTATGTTAGATTTAAAATCAAGTATTAAACAAAATGAGCAAATCTCATGAAAAAATTTCATATTCAAATTTTTTCATTCAATTCAAAATCAATTATAATTTCATAAAATGAAGACATTGAAAAATTTCATGGGCAAAATGTGCGATCGCTAATTATTCTAATGAGGGATTTTGTACAATCGAGGGCAAGCTATAAAGCTAATATAAAAAAGGGTGTATAAAAAGCTATTTCTTTTTACCCATAAAAATCTAACAGTATACTCGCGGCTCTGTCTACTTATTTTACAATTATTATTTGAAAAATAAAATGCAAATTGGAGATTATAATAGCTAAATGTCACCCAACACAATTCTACTCAAAGTCTCGAAACATTATTACAAAAGGCCGCCCTTGCTAATTTGTTCTGTTTTAAATATACTCTCGAGGAAGTAACGTTATGTTAAAGAATCACGTTCTGAGAAATATAAAGGTCCCATTTTGACATTATTTCTTCCGTCGGCAATATTAAAACCCGAATTCACTCTATGGAATATATGAAGAAATGACGTTCTTCAAAAATAATATTTTCATTTGATCCCATTGACTTCAATCAATTCAACAGAGATGAACCGACGTTTAGAGAAAAAAAATTAAAGACCTCGATCTTTATACGTTACGTTACAAAACGAGTGAAGGCGCTATAAGGTATGAACATTATTGATAATAGCGTATACAACAAGAACAGACCTCATCGACTCAATTAAATAAAAAAAAATCAAGAAAAGTGGAAACTTGGAATACAATCAATGTCCTCCACATTACGTAACAGTCCTCGAAACATCTCTTTCTCCTTTGAAAAACGTCTGTGCAACATCTGTTGGCGCATTATCAAACAGATACATTCGAAACTTACCTTACTATTGAACTACATAACCCCAAGACTAACCTCTAAAAATGTTAAAACTACTCGTACATAATATATTCTCTTTTTAAACAATTTAATGTAGTCAATTTTTTTTACAAAGATCAAAGTTTGGGAGGAGTCACGATAAGGTACATAATATGAGTTCGAGAGATTCAAATTTCAATGAATTTTACACCATTATGTTGTCTATGGCTAAATAATTACAATTTATTATGTCAAGCATTGGACTTAATAAACCCAAATTTATATATAAATGTAAAAAAAACCTCATGTTATTTCATACATTGCTCTATTAATATACGACGACATTGTTAGAAAAGAACTAAAGTTATATGTAAGGTCCAATAATAATTTAATATTTCAACACATTTTACTGGTACAATGTTGGATGTCAACAAAAATTTTCCATACATTTCACATATGTTGTAATGTAATAGTCAAAATTATTTTCACCGTATATTCCTTATAAATGTAGAGAACAACATACACTAATTACGATACATTTTTAACGCTAATCTGCCATGGCACGTCAAACATCCCGATTTTCAATACTTGCAGAAATGCGTAATTTTAATAGTCTAGTTATTGTTTAATGAAAATATACAGTTTACGATACATTTGTATATTAGCCAAAAATATATTAAAAAAATCTAAGTTAATGAGGTGATGAAATAATAACAGAATAAAAAAAACAAAGCTGTCAATAAAAGACTATAAACATTTTTCGATTACTAAATAATATTGAGGAAAATAATAAAATAATAAGTTGCTAAATAGGTATAAAAGAATGAATACAAAAATAACTGAAGTAATTGAACCACCAGCTTGAATTTAAAAAACAATGTTTGTCAATTGAATCCTGTAAAAACGCGGGAAAACCACTTTATCTACAAATGTAATAAAACTTCAGCGGACGGATGTTTCAAACTACGTATTATTATTATAATTTTAACTTGCAGGGTTACACAATTAACTGACATGTGGTACTTAATTACGAGCTTTAATATTTACTCTGCATTTTAGATGTGACCAAGAAAAAGAATATCACGTGAGTTTTGCCATAAATGTAAGAACGCTCTGCACTTTGTCGACTTTGCTTTCTTAGTTTTAATAATTCATTTTGGTGCAAGCGGTGGGATACTTTTTATTTTTATATACAATTCGCTTCCTTCGTTGTTTGTCAATTTGCAAAAACTTCATTTTTGATCGTTCAGTGCATAGAGAATTTTAATGTTACTTGACTCATAACAGAACGTGTTCTATTTTTGTTCCATTTTTGTTACGTGCAAGTTTATTTTAATTTTATTCATATTTTATTTTAATAACTTTTGACAAAATTGCTATAGAAAATGTAACATTTGTCTTCTAAAGTGACACACAACAAACTAAAACATAAAAAATGAGATAGAGTGAAGCCACCAAGCATGTTAAACGGTAGCGGCCATGTTTTGCAGAGGAAAAGGATACACATATTAGCATCTCGTTGCATCCCTTTCACTCCAAGGCACTCGATAATAGGTAGGTTATACTTTATTAACAATCTTCAACAATTGTATTTAGAATAAAGACTTACGAATAGAATAGTTACAAAATTAAATAACCTCTTTGTTAATGAGAAAAGAGTTGGCACATTCAATATTTGCGTTTCATTTCACACGATCGATATAGTTCCGAAAATATATTCTTTGCTAACATTTGTAAAGAGTTTCAATTGGACTAAAAACTTAACAAAATCAGATATGCACTTTTATACAAAGCGATATTTATTGATAAAAACTCTGACAATATCAGAGTTTTATTAACATCAGATGGGGCACAAATGGGGCGGCCATTTCGTTCTCGTTGTCATTAGCAAAGAGGCGGAATTTTTTTGTTGTTTTATAATCTATTAGTAGTACATTCGACAATGCGCCAAAACAATTGTCATCTAAGTCTATTAAACGCTACGCACAACACAGCACGCGACGGCTCCCGTAGCGGGGCAACTCTGCGGGAGAACATTTGAATCTTTAATGTCAAATAGATAAATAATACTGACACAGATAATAAATAAATAAATATTTCGGAATACATATTTTCTAGTCCCAAACTAAGCAACGCTTGTACTGTGGGTACTAGATAACTGATAAACATAGCTAAATATACTTTTCTTTTGTAAATAAATACGTATAAATATATAAACACCCAGACGCTAGATGAACACTATGTTCATCACACAATATTTTACCAGTAGTGGGGATCGAACCCACACTCTCTGGCGCAGGAGGCAGGTACACTACCCTCTACGCCATTTTGGTCGTCAATTATAATAAATATTATTATATCGTCGTATTATAGTAAATATTATTGGTCTTATTAATTATTTTTTTATATTTATGGAACTTGCCATCCCACCTGATATTGAGTGGCGATGCAGCCGTGGATGGTAATAAAATATAAGATTACTGAGCTAGCGCTCAGTAATCTTATATTTTATTGTTGAAGGAAGACATTTTAAATGCACTATATTTTGTGTTATTTTAAAAATATCATAATCAACCGAATAAATAGTGGCAATTCTAGATCGAATCCCCAATAGGTGTTTTTTTTGTTAGATAACCAAAGAATTGAGCTATTCTGTGATGGCTTATTAAGTGTTAATCGCATTATTTCATCAATAATAAATCTTTCGACATTACTTAAGTCTTCGTTAGAGAGGGTTTGCATAGAAAATGTAATAATAACAAGAACAACTGTTTTCTAATTCAAAATAAAAATATGCGAGGAGGATAATCGCGCGTACTAACGTTACTAAAAGTTTTCCTCGTGTCATAACTATATCCCTTACTGTTGCAGATTATTATTATGTACCAGGCGATTTTAAATCGTATGAGGCATAGCTGTGTAAGTTCTTTTTAAGAACAAAAGTATTTAAGTTTGTTAGGAAACAAATTTATAACACAGTTTGCTAAACAGTTTTAGGGTTCTTACAATATAGGTGCAAAAAGGACGCTTCCAAGATGAATAATGGGAGAAGAGACAATGGAAAAAAGGAAGAAAAAAAATATATTTACTTAATGCATTAGTAAATTAATTAATAATTAAGTAAACATACGAGTGCACGAATTAATGAAACGGGACACCGTTATCCGTCGAAGCTGTTAAAGTCCTTTTTAAGAACAACTCGAATGTGTGCTTGCGTCCGTTTGTTTCTGAGTGTGTGTGTGTGTGTGTGTGTGTGTGTGTGTGTGTGTGTGTGTGTGTGTGTGTGTGTGTGTGTGCGCGCGCGTGTGTGTGTGTGTGTGTGTGTGTGTGTGTGTGTGTGTGTGTGTGTGCGTGCGTGTGTGTGTGTGTGTTGTTAATCTGGAGGAGAAAACTCACGGTGCTATTGGGGCGTATTGGGCGAGGAGGAGCGCGAATGTGCCGCGAGCGAGTGTTGCAACGCGGCTGGGGTCAGCCATTCCCTGCGAATAATTTATCGTTCAGTAATATCGTTCATTCAGTTCACCATTCGCGTAATACTTTTTGGGTCGAGCGTCCGGTCTGTACGTGTTAGATGTTAACATATTTTAATAATCGTTTACACAATTAACTGAATCTATTCTTAATTTACAATGCTTTGCGAATCATAAGATAAATAATCGACTGTTTAAATTTTCTCTATAATAAATCCACTCGTTCTAATCCCTAGGTGATCCGACTGCCATAATAATCTCCAACAAAACTAAATTTCTAGAATCTATTATTTCGTTCATTCAATCTCTAATTGTTTATGATACGACAGCGACGCGAATAGCTAATCAAATATTTTCATTTATATTACAAATCGCACTACCCAAAGTCTTCCGGATTCGCTTCTTTTATCAACATTGTTTTTTTTTCTTTTCGCATTTCAAGCAATGCCCGGCACATCAATAATTCAGCATCATCATAAATAAAGGCATCGGTTTCGTTTAAATTTCACCACTCATCGTGAACTCGTGAAATTCCCGCGTAAAAGACATTAACGCAGACAACATACTTGGGCAGGCATCGTTGTAGGAACGGCACGCAGGAACTGACGTAAGCGAGCCGGTTCACCCACGCGGGGATGTCGCGATCGCACAGCGCCTGCACAGATAATCGCAACAGACACGTCAATGGCGTCACAGATTAAAAAAGCTTTTGACAGCCTACCTCTAATGGCGTCACAGATGATTAAACCTCATAAAGAAAAAGAATAAACCGCTTTCGACAACCGACGTCCAATGGCGTGACCGGGTAAAAAGCCATAGAAAAAAAGAAAAAAACCGCTATTGGCAACCAAAGTCAAAAAAATGCTTTTGACAACCAACTTCTAATGGCGTCACAGATAATTAAACCACATAAACAAAAAGAATAAACCGCTTTCGACAACCAACGTCCAATGGCGTAACAGGTAAAAAAAGCCATAGACAAAAAGAAAAAAACCGCTTTTGACAACCAAAGTCCAATGGTGACACAGATAGCAAATGCTGTAAACAAAAGAAAACAGATTCAAATATTTTGGAAGCGAACATTGCGTAAAATAATAGCATCGGTTCCAGCCAAACTAGTAAATATCATGCCAAACGGAAGTTGAAAAAAAAAATAGGTTGTATGATATAAATGAAGTGTTGAGTGATAACCGCCGCCCATGGACATTTGTAACACCCGCTTTGTTACAAATGCGTTGCGTTGCCACCTTTTAACAAAGTGAACTCACCAGACGAAACACAGAAGGATAACACTTCCACTTCACACCGGTCTTCTGCGAGGTCGTGTTACTTCTCCGGACGGACCTGCCCATTATCAGACTGTTAGAGGATCAAGTGAGTGGTAAACGTTGTTGTACGCCTTCATTGCATCTGCAGTAGGGTTGTGCACAGCCTAAGCCTTCCGAAGCGAACTCCGCCGAGCGTCGAGCATTGCTCCGTTCCGCGTCGAGCCGCCTAGGACACTTCGTTCCTCTTTCGCTGTTCGTTCTTGGCTTTCTGTCGTTTCAGCGCTCAACCAAGTTCAACCGCGTAGCTACTCGCTACTTGGTCGCCCTTTTTAATAAAAAGGGTCCAGTGGTGAGGTAGGGCTAACTCAGTAGCCTAAAACAGCCAAGTCACTCCATCCGCTGTCTGTTGTGGCTATATCCGAAACAGCTTGCCTCATCGGAGGATTTCCCTCCGGGCGTCCCCCGGTGGGGTGCGGTACAAGGGAGCAGCCTCAACAGACGTGCGCAAAAAGAGTGCGTGCACCAATTCTGCGGTGTGCTCTAATTTTTAGATGTGCACTGTTGATAACACGCCACAATGGTTCGCGGCAAAAAAGCTGCGACCACCACCAAATCCAGACGCGCCAAACCTCAGGTAAAAATCCTTGTTGAAAGGAACATTTTCACCAATGAGGTAACCAGGATCTTGCCGAAGCAGACCCAACCACCCCAGCCTAAGGGTAACGTGCCTACCAAGGCCGCTGAGCCCGTCCAATCCACACCCGTAAGCGGGGAACAAGTGGCTACAGCGCCACTACCGCAACGGACGAAGACTCCTCGTCCACCCACATCCCCTGAGTCGCCAACTCAGGATGATAAACGTCCCAAACTGGACGACTTAGTTTTAGACAGGGACAAGAGGCAGGATGTCCCAACACACACCATCGACGTCATAGAGCCTACACCTGGACCATCAACAGCGGGTCAACAAACCGCATTAAACGAGGTCGAGATGGACTCTGAGGAGCCCCAACCTGGCCCCTCAAATGCTACATCAGCACCACCGACGTACGCCAACGCGGCTTCGGCTCCACCATCTCCACGCCGACGGTCCCCAAATACACAGGGGACCAACCAAGCGCCACCTCAACCTGCCGAGGAGAAGGGGCGTAAATACCCGCCCATTGTGGTGGAATGTTTACCACAATGGACGAAACACTTCTCTGTCCTCAAAGGACAGTTAGGACATACACCCAACGCCAGGCCGCTCGGCAAGGGAGTGCGCTTTACCCCAGAAAACGCCGCAGAATACCGGGTAATTCAGCGCTACCTTGTCGAGTGTAGCCAAAAAGACCCCACCATTGTGTGGTTTTGCTACGCTCCACCGGAGGAAGTACCCACAAAAGTAGGGATTAGAGGGCTCCCCAGGGACACTTCGCCAGATGAGGTGGTCGAGTATTTCAAGGGAATTGGGTTCCCGGCTACTTACTCGAGAGCGATTCCACCCAAGAGGTCGAGGCCGGGAACACTTTATCATCTCAAACTCGACCACCTCGATAAAAATGAATTAAAGCGCCTCTATGACGTCACAGAGGTGCTAAATATGCCAGGCATTACTATAGAGGCCTGGCATGGAAAGGGTGGCCCCGCACAATGCCACCGCTGTCAGGGGTTCGGTCACGCGTCTGCCAACTGCCACCGACCCCTGCGCTGCGTGCGCTGCGCTGGCGAGCACATTTCGGCTGAATGCCCACGCAAGGGCGAAACACCGAAGTGTGCCAACTGCGCAAAAGCACACGCGGCCAATGACAGGCGTTGTGCGGTGCTCCAACGGGTGGCCAAGAGCCGTGGCATCAAATTGTCACCGCCACTACCACCACCACCACCACCACCACCCAGACAAGTGCAACACCCTCCCGAAAGGAGCACAATGCCTCTTCCCCCTCAAACTCGGGGAACCTTGGCGACAACCCCTGCAACTGTGAGCACGACACAGTCAGCAGCAGGCGCTCATGCCACCCTCATGCCACCGGCCAACGATGCCACAATACGTGGTGAAGTGGCTAAAAAGAAGAAGAAGAGGGGGAAGAGGAGGAAGAAGAAGAGCACCCCCCAACCGCAAACAGCGGGCCAAGCTGTGGTGACCCCACAGCCCCCCGTCGCTTCCCAAACCACCACCACCGCTGCACCAAAAAAGAGACAGCAGCAAAAACAGCGGGAAAATGTTGCCACAGCGGCAATAGTCGCACCGCGCCCACACCAACAACCGGCCCAACAAGGCCAAGGGGTAAGGGGTCCACCCACCCACCACGTCATTGCCTCCCATTCCCGCGACTCGACGTACGTCGCGCAGGGAATAGAGGAGGCAATTAATCAACTAATCCGGCTGGTGACGGGCATCTTGGGGGATGTCCTTGTCTCCATTGCGACGGGTAACGACACCTTAACGGCGCTGACCAACGCCATTAAATCCCTGACCGCGGTACGCAATGGCGCCACAAATTAGGGCCATGTACTGGAACCCTGGAGGCATACAGCAACGGCTCCCGGAGCTAAGGATGCTGGTTCAGCAGCACAACATCCAAGTTGTGTTGCTCGGGGAAACCAAGCTTCGTCCGGGTCAGCCGTTCCGCCTATCGAACTTCGTCGTGTACCGTAGGGATGAGATCTCCCCAGACCACGGCTATGCCTATAGAGGTACGGCCGTGTTGGTAAGACGGGACCTAGTACACGACGAAGAGGAGCTGCGTAGCTTTACAAGCACGCGCTCCATAGGAGTATGCCTCCACGCGGGCGGGAAAGAGATACGTATGTTCGCTGCGTATCGCCCGCCCGGCTTGCCCTTCAACGCCAGTGACATCCGGAATATCTTTTCTGATAACACTCCTGCCATTATAGCGGGGGATCTCAACGCCAAACATCCATCGTGGGGATCAAGAATTGAGACCCCCGCAGGCAGGAGTCTATACGAACATGCCGAGGAGGTGGGTTATGAAGTGCTGGGCCCTGATGAGCCCACACACATACCCACCATCGAAGATCACGTTCCGGATGTCCTGGACATCGTGCTCTGCCACAAAGTGCCATGCCCTGTCCAGGTAGAGGTGCTGTACGATGCGGACACGCAGCACCTCCCTGTGCTCATCGTGCTGAGTCTGGCTGCGGACTCACTGGCTCCCAGGGGCCCTAAATATAGGACCGATTGGGGAGCCTATTCGAGGGCAATGTCCACATTTAGCTTCGGTGCACCCATATCAACCGCGGAAGACGTGGAACAGGCCGCGCGCAAAATCACCTGTAAAATACAGGAAGAATTGCGCGCGGCGACCAAGGCGGTGCCGCAGGTGCACCGAAAAGACACGCTCCCGCGTAGGCTCCTCGATCGGTTACACGAGAAGAGGGAGCTTAGAAAGCTGTGGGCCCGCACCCGCTGCCCACGAGTAAAGACAAAACTCAATCGGCTCAAGGACGAGCTGTCGGCAGCCATCAAGGCGTACAGGGGTGAGGGGTGGGAGCGCCGCATTGAGCAGGCCTCCGAGTCGCAGACCTCCCTTCACCACCTTAACCGACAGCTCAGCCGCACATCACAGCCCATCTGTCCACTCGTGGGTAGCGATGGGCGTAAGCACGCTGCAGCCCAAGACAGGGCTGACATATTGGCAGAGCACCTAGAAGGGCAATTTGTGGCCAACACATCGGCCCCAGGCGCCATTGCGTTCCACCAAGAAGTGGAGCGGCACATACAGGTGTTCCTGTCGGAGCCGGTGCCACGGCTGGATGGTGGACTTTTCATCACTCCGGCCGAAGTGCGTAGAGCCGCGAGTCATCTCGCGCTCCGCAAGGCACCCGGCACCGACGGAATCACGACGTTGGCGATAAGGCAACTACCGAAAAGGGGGTTAGTGGCGCTGTGCCGCCTGTACAATGGTGTACTGCGCACGGCGCACTTCCCCTCTGAGTGGAAAACCGGTAAGATCATCGTCCTGCCGAAACCGGGCAAGGACCGACGACTTCCGGGAAGCTACCGACCGATTACGCTACTGCCGCACGTAGCCAAACTTTTTGAACGGTTGCTGCTGCGGAGAATAGTTCCCTGCATCGAGCTACGCAGGGAACAGTTCGGTTTCCGCAGCGGCCATTCCACCACGGCGCAGCTGGCCCGAGTGCTGCACTATCTTGCGGCTCAGTACAACCGGGGCCGCATCTGTCTGGGGGTCCTTCTCGACATGGAGAAGGCCTTCGACAGAGTGTGGCACGAAGGCCTGCTACATAAGCTGCTGGAAAATACCACCACCCACCGTGCGCTCGTGCGGTTAGTAGCGTCGTTTCTCCGGGACCGGAAGTTCGTCGTACACGTCGAGGGAGCCGACTCGGCGGTACGATGCATCAAAGCCGGTGTACCACAAGGTAGTTGTCTGTCGCCACACCTGTATGCGGTGTACACGGACGACATTCCCACCTTGGAGCAAAACGCCTCCGACTGGGATGAAGACGTACTGTTGGCCCTGTACGCGGACGACAGTGCGTTCTTCACGTCTTCACACAACGCGGCGTTTGCGGCGAGGAAGATGCAGCGCCAATTGGACCTGCTGCCCGAGTGGTTGGATAGGTGGCGGATGTCTGTCAATGTTGACAAAACGTCCGCCATCTTCATCCGCCACATCAAACACCAACCCACGCTTGAGCTGCGAGGTCAAGCGATAACGAACCAGGACACCATCAGGTATCTTGGGTGCCGGATAGACCGCTCGCTGAGTATGGCGCCCCAAGTCGAACACTCTGTTCGACAAGCCAGGGCAGCTCGAGCGGTCCTTTACCCAATCCTGGCATCCAAGCTACCTGTTAAGACGAAACTGGGCGTCTATAAAACCTACATCCGTTCGCGCTTGACCTACGCCGCTCCGGCGTGGTATGCACTGGTTTCCGCCTCACAGAGGCGCAGGCTCCAGGCGCAGCAGAACCTCGCCCTTCGAGCAATCGTGGGAGCCGGGCGTTACGTCAGGAACGACGTAATCGCCAGAGACCTGAAGATCGTGTCCATCGAGGAGTTTGTGGTCCGGTTGGCCCGTCGCTTGTACGACAGGGCTGACAACGGACCACACCCACACCTGGAGAATATTGCTCCACTCCACGCCCGTCCTCCTGACGGACGTCCGCTCCCACGAGAGCTACTGCGGTCGGAACAGGCCATTGGGGGGCCGGACCCGACCGCACTTCCGCCGCTGTGTCGAAGACGATGTCGTCCTCGCGTTACACACCGCGTGTAACGCCGTACACCCGCAAGTGCCGCTACCGCGGTCAGGGATAGGGATGGCCGATGGCCATCCTCACCACCGACCAGCCATTCGCTGGTCGAGATACATGCCCGAGTAATGGGGACAGGGCCCCCGAGACTCGTTTAAAGCAGGCCTCGCGCCAGCTTCGTACATCATCAGACTGTTATCCGGCACTACATTAGGGCTATTTAGTTTTATTACTACCGGACATATACTTTGTTTTTTATTTACTAGCGGACCCAACAGGTAACATTTCGTAAAATACGTTCTTAGCTGACCTCTACTCGGCGAAAGGAATATTCCTACCAACTTTCACGTCTTTACGCCTTATGGTTTAAGAGATATCGTGAAAGTCTATTATTGGTGGAAATCTATACATATATAGATTTATTATTTATCCGCACAAGATATGTACATAGGCTGACTTAATTTTATCGACATTATCTACCAGACAGCTTTTGGATGGCACTACCACAGTTAGACGACCTAAGGAAGTGTTGTACTTTTGCATTTCGTCTGGAGAGAAGTAGCCGGGTCCGAACTGTTTTAGGTTGGCAACATCGGCAACCTACAGGCATTGGAGATAACCATGGGCGGCGTCATTCACTCAGCCTCAAGAGAAATACCTAAGCATAAATTCAAAGTCAGCAGTGAGGGAATGCCCATACCTTAAAACTTTTTCGAGTTATGATTAAAGCTTACTAAAACGACCACTCACCAAACAGAACGCCGACGTGAAGTGATTACAATTGTTGTTCATGAGGTGGTATCTGAAAAAAAAAATTAATCGAATGAAAACGATTTTAGGACTAATTATTTTATAGTGTTAGTCTATGTACTCAAGACGAAACTTTAGATTGCAAATATTTGTAAAGCTTTCGGGGCTGCGGGACGAGTAAAGATAAAGTTTTTGTTCATTTATCTACAAAGATTTACAATTTAACCAATGTAAACGAGTTGGATTCAGTTCGTAGACATCTGCAACCAAGGTAGCAGAAGATTGATAAGCCGAAGGCAACGGACCGGCCGAATATAGCTCGTAGAACGTGACACCGATGAGAAACGTTCTTGAGTGGACGTCCCACTAGATGTAATGAATGGAAGTCCATTTATGTAGGCGGCTAAGGATATTTCTTTGTGTTTGGCCGTGAGTGGGGGTTCTTTTGCTCTGTAAATACTCTCATTTCAAAGAAAAAGTTACGCGGTTCGGAAACCTGACTCACCGCAGTACTTCCCCGAACAAGCCGACGCAGTTTTTTTCATGTGTGAAGGTAGAGGGAGGAGATCCCGGAGTCCCTCCAAATGCACAGAAGGTGTCCACCGAGGGGGTTTTAGTACGAACCGCACATAACCCTGTCATGTAAGGTGACAGGGTGATCTTTGGGTGTGACGGTGGTAGGGCCTCGCACGCAACAGCCTCGGCTGTTGCACGAATGGGCAGGCCCGTCCGGGTAAGTACCACGACCTCACAGAAGACCAGCGTAAAGTGGAAGTATGACAAATACTTTCGCGTTTCGTCTGGTGAGTGCGGTAGCCGGAGCCCAATTTTCAAAGGGTTGTCAACGCATCTGTAACCCTCGGGTGCAGCAGATGTCCATGGGCGGCGCTATTCACTTACCATCAGGTGAACCGTCTGCTCGTTTGGCAACTTTTCACATAAAAAAAAATAAAAAAAAAAACCCTCACGCTCCGCGCGAAGAGTTCGGCCCTGAACCTCACCTGTCACCTCGGAACTGCTTCCCTAGCTCGTTCACCAACCGCCGCACCTCGTCCTCGCTGAAGTCCGTGTAGCCTATGTGCACGCTTTGCCTGGAAATGGCACAGGCGTTAGTGACAAGTCTATATTTTTAACCGACTCCAAAAAGAGGAGGTTCTCAATTCGTCTATATATTTTTTTTAATGTTTGTTACCTCAGAACTATCGGCTGAGTGGACCGATTTTGATGATTCTCTTTTTATTTGAAAGCTTCCCATGTGGTGCTTTATTAATTTCATTGGTATTGGATCTTGGTTTACGGAAATACTTAGGCAAATCAATTATCAAAATGAATACAGATCGAGATATTTGTTGTCAGATTCAAATATCTCGCTCTGTATTCGTTTTATAATTGATTTTCAAGAGTTTCCTAAGTATCTCCGGAGCCCAGGGTACAATTCCAATGAAATTAATATGGGACCACATGGGAAGCACAAGCTTTCAAATAAAAGAAGAATCATCAAAATTGGTCCACTCAGCCGATAGTTCTGAGGTAACAAACATTAAAAAAAATACAGTCGAATTGAGAACCTCCTCCTTTTTTGGAGTCGGTTGACAAACGAAGTTATAATGACGATTAACGGTTTATTTATTATGGAGCCATGATAACATTGTCCGGGCGCACCCTTCTGATTTCTGGTTTATGACGTGCCCAGAGGTGAAGGAAAACGTCGTGAATTCGAAGTAATGCGAAGTACGCCTTTCGCAGTGGGGTCGTGTGGTGGACTATGCCCTGATGACCTGTGTACAGAAGAGGTATTTGCCCAGTATTGCAGTGGGACCTAGGTACATAGTTTAGCGTTATCATAAAGTAAGGGCAATGTTTTTATAATTAAAAAAAAAAGGTTCTGTTTCATTTTGCGCATTTCCCCCGAGTACGGAAAATGAAACAGAACCTTTCTGCATGTTTTATTGATAGTAATAAAAAAAACATCTAAAAGCGGCGGTGGGGGACAGTGCCCTAAAACCATGAGTACAGGGGAGGCCCTTTTCCAACAGCGGGATATTATCACTATTTATCTCTCTGTGGACCTACCTGATTTTCTCTGTACCACCCTCAAGGTTGACTGGGAGATAATGCCTTTAGCATCAAATCCGGCTTTGTACTATTTGTGCATAAAAGGTAGATAAATAAATTAATATTTCATATTCAGACTATGACTCTATTATATCTAAACACGCAAAATTTACGTTCGCTACACAATCGATAGCGCCCAGTGCGCCGTGCAATTAATTACCGCACGCAGCAAAAATGATTTTCTAGACGCTACCACACGTAGCATGTTCATGGATCACCTGAAACGGAATTCTCCGCCCTCCGCTAGCGCCAAGGACGCCGTGCAATTAATTACCGCACGCAGCAAAGGTGAACTTCTGGAGGGAAAACCACGCGTGGCGTGTTCATGGATCACCTGAAGCGGAATTCTCCGCCCTCCGCTAGCGCCAAGGACGCCGTGCAATGAATTACCGCACGCAGCAAAGGTGAACTTCTGGAGGGAAAACCACGCGTGGCGTGTTCATGGATCACCTGAAGCGGAATTCTCCGCCCTCCGCTAGCGCCAAGGACGCCGTGCAATGAATTACCGCACGCAGCAAAGGTGAACTTCTGGAGGGAAAACCACGCGTGGCGTGTTCATGGATCACCTGAAGCGGAACTGCTCGCCCAGCTCGCGCTCGTCGCGGGGCGCTATCTCGAAGACGCCGGTGAACGCGTACGGGTGGCCGCCGTACGCCCACTCGGAGCCGTGCACCTGCACGCCGCTGTGGAACACGCCCACGCCCGCGCCGGCTGTGTACCTGCAACACGTGCGCATGTTGCGCGTACCGAACGCTGCGCGTGCCGCATGCTGCGCGTACCGAATGTTTCGCGTTCGTATTGCGTGTTGCGGAACGCAGAACACGTGCACATTTACGGCGTGCGAGTCAAAAATCCAGGATAAGAGCGTCTACGATGGAGGAACTCGTGATATGCACGCACCGAGACAAGCATAAGTACACGCGCTCTTGTGTAGCTTTATAATCAAAAATCTAAATCAAATGTCTTTATTCAACATAGGAGCATTACACTCACTTATTGATAGTCAAAACACTACCACCGCTATATGTACATATTATAAGCTGCGGTCGAGCTTTAGGGGTCGAGACTGTGGTGGCTCTAGCTATATTTTTTTAAGGGGAATCGTAATTATACCATGAAAATTAACGATATCACATATAATATTTTTCTTAGATAATATGTAATTTATTATCATTATCATTGATTTATTACAAACGTTTTGTGTACAGTGTAAGAGAAACAACAAACTTTTTGACCTCCGTCCGACCCCACCAAACTTATACTCGAGATAAGGCGCAACTGATCAACTTTAAGATTTATAAATGGATAGATTGAATGGAAGATAGCCGCGACGATACTTTACCAAATTATACACATGATATTATATGAAAAGCGAGAAGGCGGTTCACCTGATGTTAAGTGATTACCGTCCCATATTGACATCTACAATACCCGTGCGTTTAAAAATGCCCCCAACCCCATTAGTTCAATCATCCGACGAAGGAGCACCACGTCCATCTTCTGTGAGGCCGTGGAGCCACGGATGAGCCTTTTTTTATTACACCCAAGTCCATTCTTTTACATACAAAAACAAAACTGACTTCAAATAACACGCTCTGTATTCATTTTGTAATTGATTTTTAGGAGTTCCCTAAGTATCTATGGAGCCCAAGATCCAATACCAATTAAATTAATATGGGACCACATTGGATTGGAAGCACCAGCTTTCAAATAAAAAAAGAATCCTCAAAATCGGTTCGCTCCGTTGAAAGTTCTGAGGTAACAAACATTAAAAAAATACAGTCGAATTGAGAACCTCCTCCTTTTTTGGAGTCGGTTGAAAATACATTGCCCTCACTATAGGATAAAATTATCCTGTGTTGTAAGGTCGTTTCACATACATAAATTTCACGCGGACAAACCACCCAAATCCGAAAAATGTACGGCACACAAACAGTTGTCCCGTGTGGGATTCGAACCCACGACCCGCGCCGCCGAAGCCAATACCTTGGCAACTGCGCCACAAAGTCACTCCTGCCCATTCGTGCAACAGCAGAAGCTGATGTGTGGCCAGTGAATAGCACATAATTAAACTAGTATGTACCATACTTATAGTTAGTCTCGATTCGTATAGAATATTCCGATGGTCACAATAGTTAAACTTGTAACCACAATGATCTAATTGCGCCTCATTTAATATTCAATAACTTGATCAGTCTGTCATGCCGTCACTTTGCAAACCGCAGTAATTGTACAGTTAGATATTGTGATCCCTCAAAGGGAACAATACTGGACATCCCGCCCATTAGGGTTAGTGTGCATGAAAGAATTATGATTTTTCTATGCCACTGTGTAACAAACCCATTATTGGTAAAAAATGTCACTTAGTTCACTCTGGTTCTAGCATCGGCAGTTCGTTTCTTTTACAATTAGTAATCTCAGCATTGACAGGTTTGTTTTGCCTTTGCGATCTTTCCGACTGGAACTTGGTAGTTTTCGATGCGTAATATTCGGCGATTATGACGCGTGGTTCTTTAAAGCGTCAATTTTCCTGTGGCAATGGTCTAATAATCTAATACGAAAACATTACCGGCATCAAATCTCAAGCAAAACAGCATTCATTAGCACAGAAAACTGTACCAACATGCACAACATAAGGACACACAAATCTAGAATCGATGTTTTTCGTTCATGACCATATCAGAAACGAGTAGTTGCCTAGCTGTATAATTTTAGCTCAGCAATTGCGATCCGATAGAATAAAGAGTATGAAAGTGCTAAGAACGAGTTGCACTACGTAGAGACCTCTTCTCACGAGTGGCTTTTGGAACGACGCCTACGCTGTTTCTGTTCGTAGTGGCTGGTTTTTGTATTTAATTGCGAACTTACTCGTGCTCAAGGGCGGAGAGCGGATCATCGGCTTTTTTTTATTTTTTTTTAACTTTACAGCGTGTGGTTTACTTTTTAAGTTCCATTAACATTTCTCTCGACACAGGAGTTTTGAAACAAATAGATTTTATGTTTAACGACTACCTAGATTTAAAGAATCCGAAATGCTTCAAATGTCGTTTGAATGGACGATTATTCTATTTGCTGTAATCACAATAATTTTGGTATTTGGTAGTCGCCATATTTTATTTTTTATTGCTGTCATGTCATTAGCGACTCTCGCTAAATTATGACGATTCAAAATCGGCCTACGCATTTGGAGTTTAGAGCGCAACATACATACATAGGCTGATAGAAACATTACCCTAATTTAAATAAAAACGGACAATGTAAAAATATGTAACGTTCGACCCTACGTCCGAACCATTAAATTCGAACTTATTACGAATTTACAAGATGATCGATAAATAGTTCATTGCCGTTGATAGACCAAAACGGTCCGAAACTGGCCAGTAATAATAAGAAAGAGGTTAAAATAAAAAAATTTAAAATGAAAAGACGCAAAAAAAATTCGAATTTGGAACGCCGACTCACCAATTGGTCCAGTACATGTCGTAGACGTTGAGCACAACGGGCGCCTGGCCGGGGCGCGGCGGTCGCGGCTCGTTCCGCCGCGGCAGCAGGGACATGCACGAGGGGAACATCGTGCAGATGCCGCACGACTGTTGACGTTGAAAAGACATTATAAGTTTAAATACTTTTAGAAGATTAAACATTTTAAGCCGAAGTGAATTTTGATGGACAATCACTTTTCGAAAAATGATGAAGCCAAAGAATGAGCGATTTTGGCGGGAATTTTATCCCATTATTTATGAATCGCCTATTTAAACTGTCTATGGATAACCACCGCTAACCTAAGTTTTTGTTAGTTTTCCGTCAATTATTTTTGGAGTCCGTTAATGAAATAAAACTTCTTTTCCAATAGAGCTTTTGTGTATCGGTTTATATAATGTTTCAAATTTGGCCCACGTTTCAATACATTATAAATACAGTAGAAACAATTCTGCCACTGATTTCGTTTAATATTTTTTTCTAAAATTTATTTACTGCGACGGAGTCATTGACACGTCAAACGTCGAAAAACAATACAAAAAAATAAGCAAAACATAGCTTTATTGACAAAATGTAGATAACGATACGTGCGTGGACAGTACGTACATTCGCCTCCATAAAAATATCAAAATGTACCACTCATTTTGCTTAGTTAATTTTACCTGTATTGATATATATTGTACTGATAGTATGTATCACAAAGCCTAAGGAAACTTTCGACATCGAATCTAGCGAAACGTGAAATTCACTCAAAGCTAAGTAATAAGCTTAATTTTAACAGCTCGCATAGAAACGGCTTATCGAGATTGATGTCGCTGGATGAGACGTGTGTGCTACGCTTCGAATGCGGTGGCTGTACTTTTTCATGTGTTCGTACCGGTTTTCGTAGCAGTGAGGCATATAAGCTCGTCTTGAAATAAGTACGGGCAGACGGATATAATTGATTAAAAGCACAAAGCCCATGATGAACTGCACCATAAGATGACAGTTGTAGTCATCTCAATTTAGCCGCCTTTACATGTTTGTTTATTAAAACAGGATACTTGTTTTGTAAAATTACATAAAAGAATAAAAATTTCAAATGCAAAGATTAGCAATTGTGTCTAAAAAAATATCGCTGATAAATTTCATTCTGATAGTTGACGGACATGAAGAAAAGTTACCTTTTTTTATGTTGACGACTAACATATTTGCTTAATTCGATTTTAACTTTGAATACTAAGTTATACTTTCTGTTGTGTGTTGAACAAAATTTTTTCACACCCCGGCTATCGTTAGAAAATGCCAATTGAAAAAATATCTTAATGCTAATTGGCATTAATTTCGAATCCCTTTTGGAAGTGATGCAATAAAATATAAATAAATATTAATGGTTGGTTTAAAATTAAAAAGATGTTTTTTGGTTTACGTAATAAGACTTGATTTTGTAGTTTTAAGTAAAGAACAGTATAAACAGTGATATTTGGATGCAATTTTAAATGCGCTTTATTAAATATTAATTTAATTTGTCATTGTTGTGATAAACATTGCTTTCGTATTTATTTATACTCCATATACTTTGACAGGCGTAATTAGATAATTTACCGGCACACTGATGATAAGAGATGACAAGTTAAACAGGAACAAAAAGTACAGATCACTGTTCAAGCGACTTCATAAATATATTTTTTATGTGTGTTCGTGGATAACTTCATCGTTAGTGAACCGATTTTGATGATTTTTTTTTGTCCGAAAGGGGATATAGCAAGGGTGGTACCATGATAAGGAAACCCGGATCTGGTGATGGCATCCCAGAGAAATCGAGTGCCATCATTGATCATCATTGTTATAGGTATTAACAATGTTTTTGATTTTCTGATTGAAGTCGGTTTTATTTTTGTTAAAAATTATACTTGTTTAAATAATTTTATACATTGTATTATCACCGTTTAGTAAAATTAAAACAGTATGAATATACAGATAGGTTACAGTACAAGGAAACGGGACAACTAGCGCTCCGTTTTGTACTCAAAAAGTGTAAGAAAGTGATGGAAATGTAGTTCCGTACTAGAAAATGCCTTAAACAACAATTATTTAGGTAAACTAGCTGACCCGGCAAACGTTGTTTTGCCATATAAATTATTTGTAGGGTAGAAAAAAATATTTGGGGTGGGCCACCCTTAACATTTAGGGGGATGAAAAACAGATGTTGTCTGATTCTCCACCCTGGCCGATATGCACACAAAATTTCACGAAAATCGGTCGAGGAGTTTCGGAGGAGTCCAAATACAAACACCGTGACACAAAAATTTTGTATATTAGAAGATGAAACTTCGAATTCGTAGTTATTCAAACGTAGTCCATAGACAAACAAAATTTAGAGGCGTTTTACAAACAGCAAGTAAACATAGCCAAACAATCAAATCCGAAACAATTATCTGACGATCATTACTAAGTACATATACCGAAAAATTATTTAAGTATACCAAAATAACATTTTTTACAATTTTTGTCTATTTCTTTCAGCTAAATTCATTTTAATTTCTCGGCTAGACTGAATTTGAAGGAACTTTCACTGGCTGATGTAATAAGGAGTAACTTAGACTATGTTAATTTTAGAAATTTTATTACTTTAAATTCTATACGGACAAAGTCGCGGGTATAGCTAGTTATGAATAAAATTAAACACGATGAAACCTTTAAAGCAGTTTAAATATCAGCAATAGCAATAGCAACGTATAAAGCCATTTAGCCAGCGTTTAACAGTACCAATGAATATACGCAAGTGAATAAAAGATGTATTGTTTTTATGACTTTGTGGGCATACTACAAAGCGCTAGATGCAAGGATCCATTGCAACTAGGTTCATTTACGTTAACTGCAAGTTTAAGTGTGCGATTAAATGTAATTGAAGTATACAAGTTTATACAAAATAATGACCATTAAGTTAAATGTGAAGTTTATGCAAACGAGTACAGTAACGGCAACCAGTCTAGTCTATCTATTCTATACAGAGTGACTTTATAAAGGTGCCCAAATTCACACAGGAGGTTCAGACTCGGTAGTATAATCCTTTATTGAAATAAAAAAAAAAAAGTAAAGTAAAGTAACAGCCTATAATGTCCCACTGCTGGGCAAAGGCCTCCTCTATACAGAGGGTATCAGGGCATAGTCCACCACGCGGCCCCACTGCGGATTGGCGGACTTCACATATTTTCAATATATATTTTTTTGTTATTATTTCGAAAATATGCAGGTTTCCTCACGATGTTTTCCTTCACCGCGGAGCACGTGATAAGTCAGTACTTAAAATTAAAAACTTCATTGGTGCCGGCACCGGGGATCGAACTCAGGTTGCTCGAGAATATTGAATTAAAGGCGAGCGCACGGACACTGAGCTATCACGGCTCAGAAATAAAAACAAACTTTTTTTTCAAAAAAATTGCCATTCTATTCCCTAAAAAACAAAACTTGTTGACAATGCGGTAGTCATTCATAAATACGTCGTATACTTTTGAAACGAACTTGTGTGCGTGTTCGTTATGAATGATCGCGCGTAAAATAAATGAGTTGCCCATAAATCACGCACTTTCTGAAATAAGTTCAAATGAATGTAATTAATTAATTACGAGTGATTTTAAATATTTATAATTTTTTATATAACTTTATTTATGTCTAGAATTTAATTTAAAAAAATGGGTACACTTAGAAAAGCCTCCCTGTATATTGCAATGATACACTCCAGTGTCTGTCTGTGATTTTAATTAAAAAGAAATCCATAATTTGAGTGAAGTGAAAGTTTTTAGAGATTTGTCTGTGTGACTGTGTCGTAAATAGGTTTCGAAACGAAAAGCTTAAATTTTCGCATATTTTAAGAGGGGACGAGGCCGGTGGCATGAGCTATCGCGTCAATAAAGGACAATACACTATTGTAATATAAGCGTTGAGATTAAATTTATTGAGGCGATTAAAAGTTGTTGCCCGAAGCAAAACGATCGAACCAACAATGTCAACAACACTTTGTAATTCATAAACTCATTTACATAGAGTTTTTCCAGTGTCTAGGCGTTTATTAACATATTTATAATTTGTATTTATTTTATTTAATGAAGGTTAAATTGAAAGAAAACATAAGATCAATATGTTTTGTGATCCCTATCATATCATCCTTCAATGTTCAGAAATTGTTTTTTTAATAAAAAATAAAAATTTAGTTAATTATTTAAAAACAATTTTTTAATAAAAATTTAGTATACGATTCCCTTCATTTACGTCAGGCAATTCATTGTATTGTTATAAATATTTATACGTCGGGCATGTGAATTTACATGCACCACTCAAACCTTAGTTTCTATATACGAGGTAAACAGAGACAGGGTGTCTAATTGAACATAGCAGGTTCTCATTGAGATCAAAGCGGTCAAACATGCGTTTGATCGCAAAAGGTAAAGTAATTTTTTCAAAAATTAATAAGTTTCTGGACAAAGCGTTGAAACGACGATCCACTCTAGGAACAAAGTTGTAAGAGATATCTCGAAAATCGAATCAATTACGTGGTAGTATTTTGACTATCAATAAGTGAGTGTCATGCTTCTATGCTGTCTTATTAAAAATAATTTTAAATATATACGAGATAAAATATAAAAGTTGTCTCTATAGAAGAAAGTGGCAAATGATTCATTTTGAATTGAGTTTGTTAGTTTTCAATTAAGTAGTTGGACCCGTTTAGCTTAATTGGCGAAGCTTTGCTTAACGGGTCTTCTGTCACGCAAGCCGGTGGCCCATAATGCGATATAAACTTAGCGTGTTTCATTATAACTACATAGTATAAAGCAAAGTCGTCCCGCTGTCTGTCTGTCCCTATGTATGCTTAGATCTTTAAAACTACGCAACGGATCTTGATGCGGTTTTTCTTTTTACTAGATAGAGTGATTCAAGAGGAAGGTTCATATTCGTGCGAAGCCGAGGCGGGTCGCTAGTAGTATGTATAAAACAAAGTAGCTCTCGCTGATTGTACCCTTAGATCTTTTGAACTACGTAGCGGATTTTAATGAAGTTTTCGGAAATAGATAGTGATTCAAGAAGAAGGTTAATATGCACATTGAACCCGTGTAAAGCCGGGGCGGGTCGCTAGTAGTTGATATACTGATAA